TCACACATGCTTTTCGCACATGCACACACCCACACATGCTTTTTGTATATTCCATTCTTCTGTTTCTTACACACACACACCCACACATGCTTTTCTTACATGCACACTTGTTGTAGCAGGTTTTTGCAACCACAAGTATTGAAAAATAGAAAAATGTAAGTACAAATGTTGTAGGCTTTATGACATCTTGAAAGACTTTGATATCTCGAAATTGAATAGATTTTAATGAACTTTTACATCCCGCCGCATTGTGCGGGTACACAACTAATATATATATATATATATAGGGGTTGGTTCAATTGTTAACAAAGATTATTGTGTTAATTTTGTTAATCGATCTTGACCGTTAATTTGAATTATAAACGGTTGTGATTTAATGATATTTAAAAATTAATTATTAAATTAATATTTTTCAATTAACATATGTGAACAAAATATCAAAGGGTATTTAGATAAAAAATAATCTATTTTTGATACACGAGTTGTCAGACATATGAACAACTTATGACAATTTGTGTATATCTTCAAACCACATCAAACAAAAAAGATTAGACATATGAACAACATGTGAACCGTATGAATATCTTCTGTATATTCAGGAGCCAACTATGTTGTATGTACATGAACACCTATGAACCAAGACATCTAAGGCTGTGTGTTTTCATACGTGTTCACATGTTTTCACATGTATTGATATGAACATCTAGTGATTTGAATATACATGAACACTTATGAATCACGGCATCTAAGGCTATGTGATTTCTGATGTGTTCATATGTCGAATGTGAGAACTGTCGATTAAAATAAATGTGAATTATAGAACATGAACACGTGTGAAACCCCAATGTCAATATTGCATCATGATCAATTGTGATATTTTCATATTTGTAACTCCCAATTAATTATTTGGTAGTTACATAAAATGATAAATTACTTAAATACCCTTGTATTTAATATATGAGTTACATTTGAACCAAATGAAAAGATGGAATATGATTGGTTGAGCTTGGTTTAACATAGTTAACAAAAAAAAATTGGTTAGTATTTGAACCAAACTCTCTATCTCTCTCTCTCTCCAAAGGTTTTTCGTGAGACCCATAAGACCAATTTATGTTCATTGATCAACTTTGTAAGCTAATGATCTAAAGTTGCACGATGGCAATTTTGTGATTATGGAGAAGTCTCGTGGCAATTTTGTAATTATGAATGTTCAAATTATAGATCTAATCCAAGGGTTGAGAATTGGTTTTATGGGTCTCAAGAAAAACCCTTGTTCTCACATAATCCCAAGTAT